ATTGTTTTATGGTAAGGTTGGTCTGGCCTGATTTTATATAAACTACATAAGCCTGAGATTTATTATTCATATAGAAGAGGAAGGTTTTGTCTCTTGGAATCAACTGGCAAGGCCGGAAGGGAGGCTACTATATCAATAAGGATTCAGAGTTGACTCAAGACTATTAGTGCTGCCTGACGTGCCATTCGTTTAGCACAGGCGCAAGGTCATAAATTTTTATAAGTTGATTGGCAATTTTATCTCGTGATATTTGACACAGCCATTATTCACAACAGATTTTATTCTCAAAAATTATGGATTGTAAAAAAGTAATGAGGTTCTAACGGATGAAAATCAATCTATGCCATAGCAATCAAACGTCTAAAACCAGATCTATGTATACACAAAAAGACAGTACCAAATTTTTCTTAGCCCTGGAAACATTAGCCCTTTTCTTTTATTTATTTATTTATTACGTCATTCCTTATTTCAACTCTTTCTGGAGCTTAAATCACGTCATTCGCAACTGACTGATTGTAATTCTCTTTATTACCATTAATTTATTTCCAGTTGCCTGATTACACAATCACCTAATGTTTGTTAACTCCATGAGTTCTAATCATTAATCCAGTGTTCTAGAACTTTCCCTACCAAACTTTATTCGAAACGAAGTTTTATGACCTCATTACCTCTATCGGAATCTTTGCTACATCATGAAACATATATTCATATTTAATCACCCTCTTATGTATAAGTATGTCAATGTATGTAATAATGTTGATTTTCAAATATTTTAGGTTGTAAGCATCTGATAAGAAATTCATATTATTCTGCACCGATCTTTGTACTTGTTAACTATAAGATAATAAAGGGAACTCGGTGTATGAAAATTTGTTATTTTCGATCATTTTAAGATAACAATGAGTATTTAATAAGTGAAAGATAGAAGAACAGAATAAGACCCGGAAGAAATAATCAAAACCAATAGACCCTATACTACTGTAGCGGTAAATAAATTTCCAAATTAAAGAGCTCTGTAAGTTTTCGACATTGGATGCTGACCATATTAGTTTTAATGGACTCACCTAACTGAAGGCGCTCGATCATGCATCTGCACCAGATCACGAGTGGGAACGACGTGCTCAACAAACCTTGCAATCGCTAGCCAGATTAGATCAGACGATCCTCGATATTTTGATAACCTATCAAATATATCTTTGAACCTCCTCTTTTGATTTCACTTGGTGGGTACGCTTCATATTAGGTGTTACTGGTTAAAGCGTTGTCAAACCCCGATTATCTGTGGCATCTTTGCTACAAATAGATCGGACATCCATATAGAATAGCAAAAAGGCTTCGTAACTAAATCCGTTATTGAAAGTCACGTGGTTAACACCTTATTAACAACCCGAGCAATAACAATTGAAGCCATATGACATGTTCGGACACTATGAGATTCTGAGATGGTTGCTTCAACAGCCAGAGAAATGAGAGATTACAATCTTACACTTCTCAGAATTATAATCTTTATAATCTCGGAAGCACCTGGGGAAAATCCGATGGCACACACTTTTAGATAATAACTGTAGCAATTCTGCAAGTTTTAGCCCTCTAAATTAGAATTATTTTAAAAGCATAGACTTCGAATCTTCATGACAGTTGTTTCGAGCTCCAGACATTAGTTACTTATAGGAACGATGTTCTTGCTCCATCGATTTGTGCTTTGGATCTGTATTATTTCTTCCATGTTTATCAATGTTGCTAACTAGGTACGTAAAGGCTTCCACCGTTTCGAGAGCTTAACCATGGAGTGTGGTTTTGTTGATACTCATTGTTTCATGCTTGGGGGTTTCAATTATTCTTCTATATACGCAGAGGCCTGTTGAGACGGAAGCTGGCGTTGTACCGTGTATTTTCATTCGCATTTTATACTGTGTATGAGCAGGTGGGCTGTCATGAGAAAAATCAAACTATTCAACTGTCTATAGCGCTTACTTCAATCCATACTTCCTCCAAAGTGTAGAGGTCTTAACCATAAAGTCGATAGCAAAAAACGTGGAAAGACGATAACAGGCAGAGTTAGTTGATACCGGTCCCCAACTGAAATCCATTTGTGAGCTGCTCACCATTTATATCTTTGCGGTGCAGTCACTCCTATGAATTCTTCATCAAAATGATCTCAGGTATTTCATGATATTAAATATCCCAAAAACATTTAAATATTCACTTTATCAAAAAGTGTTGAGTTGCAAGCGATCGAATTTTTAAGTGGTTTTCATTTTAGAAATCTTTTGGGTATATGATCAATTTTTACGAAAGTTAGATCGTCTGTCTCTGGCATCTATCAAATCGTTAGTTCTTTTTGATAATAGTCGGTCGACTACTGACAGTGGTGTAAGTTTTTATAAGTATTTATAAATGGTTTTCCACGCAAGATACTCAACATCCATTGGCCGGATACCATCAGCAACAGCCATATGTGGGAGAGAATACACCAGCTTCCAAATATAGAGGAAATTAGGAAAAGACGATGGAAATGGATAGGACATAGATTGAGCAAGTTTTCAAGCTGAATCATGAGGCAAGCCCTAATTTGAAATCCTGAAGAGAAGCGAAAAGAGCGAGGCCATAGAACACATTGCGTCGGGACATCGAAGCATATATAAAAAGGATGAATAACAACTGGATAGAGCTGGGAAGCGTTGCCGTGGAAGGGTTGGATGCAGTGTGCTGGTGAGCGGCCTATTCTCTTTCACGAGGAGTAACATGCGTAATTAAGTAAGTTTTCCAGCCTCAGATTTGGTTTGGCCGTCATCAAGTTATGCTCTGGAGGTCTATAGGTTTCTCTTCTTGTTCTTACGTCTTCGAAGGAGCTTCTGAACTCTTTATTGATAAATGTTTGATGAATTTTGTCTTTTGTAGTACTGTCAGTCAGATCCCAATTATTTCTGTGTATGGGCTCGTGCGGAAAGAAGTTAACAGTTCTACTCATTAAGATATTATAAGTGTATTGATTTTATTAGCACCAATATACTTAGTGCTCAGTTTATTTGGAGTCATTGAGCCTAACATTGGTAATGTTACCTTTGTTTGTTTGTTTGTTTTGAAATAAGCTATGATGGTTGTGGAGACGTTGTTTTCCCGTCCTCAGACAACTTTATTGCGTCATTGAGGGAAGAGGAAGGGTCAGTGGAGTTTTTTGTGCATGTAGGGTATCTTCCCACCTCTCACATTGTACGAGTGTTCCATGTACCTAAATTAATGGTTGCCGCGGTTGTCAAAAGAGGCATCAACATTGTGACTTCCGAAAAAACTTGTCTTTCACAACGAGACCTAAGTTCCGTGGCAGAGTTTAGATGGTTTGAATCATTTTTTCTGGTTGGCGTCTTTAAAGCGAGTTAATTTTCTACGGGGTGGGGTCTGTAAACCCATGCTCAACCCTCCTCCTTTATCCGGGCTTGGGACCGACATTAGCTCCAGAGGGGCTTCATGCGGAAGAATTCAGGAAGGAGTGCTAAAGGTGGATGGGCCATACATTGAGGGAAGCAGTCAGCTGCGCCACAAGACAAGACCTCACATGGAATCCTCAAGGCCAAAGGAAAAGAGGAAGACCAAGGAACACATAACGCCAGAAAATGGAGATAGACATGAGAAGAATGAACAAGAATTGGATAAAACTAGAAGGGAAGGCCCAAGACAGAGTGAGTTGGAGAATGCTGGTCGGCAGCCCATGTTCTATCGAGAGCAACAGGTGTAAGTAAGTAAGCGTATTTTTCTCTTGATGACCAGAATAAAATGGAGGGTCTCGTGAAGTTGATCTTTTCTGTCCAGATAGTGTACAGTGAGTTCCACTGGTTGTGAGTCAAGTGGAGTTGTATCTTATGGTTTCTTCGGGCATTTGAATGGTCCTCCCGGTCTTCTATATTGTCCGAACATTTCATGTACGTTTAGTAATTGTATCTGAAATAATTGTTTCTCCGGTTGTCAGAAGGAAAGTCGATCTCGTGACTTTTGAAGATTCTTTTCTCCCATTTGCAGGTATCGCATCAGCTGTACTTTAAATTCGCTATGCTATGGACGGTTTCAGTAATTTCACTTGTTTTTCTTTGGCTGTCAATCTAGTTGCATTGTTTTTGTTTTTTAGTTATGCTTGTCAACTCTAAGCTTAACAGGCTTCGTTTACACGATATCAGGTTGGCGGTATCACCAGATCGGTGCAAAAATTTATTGATATTTTTAGATATTTTTTTTAAAATTCTAAATCTACCACACTAATCTGGACTAGACTGTTAAAAGATTTCGGCCACTTGTATTAGGTCTCGCTTTGATTGGTATGCTTTCACATTTAAAATTTCTAAGATCTCAGTAATGGCTTCAAAGGAATAACAGATAAAACTAGACGTTTTTATGGTTATCCAGGTTTCAACGTTATTAGGGTTTTACGCACTAACAGAAGTCGTTAAGCACACTAGATTTACTGTCCTCTTGTCACATGACATCCATGTTGTTTTACCTATCGCAATATCCATTAGTTTATTTAGTACTATTGGATCTGCCAGCTACTTTCTACTTTTCCCCATTCATCTAGTTTTAGTCGTGCAATATTCACTCCAATTAAGCAAATGACTACCGCGTGACTTATTTGTTGCCTGTTTTAGTAAATTTATTCAAATGTTTCAAATGGTTGTGGACGGGATGGAAGAAGCTTTCGCTTAACGGACTTCCAGAATTTACTAACCTTCAAACAATCGTCAAGATCATTAGGATTATGACAAAACATGACTTAATCTCTATGAATGTGTCTAGACAGCTCACTGACGTCGAAACTTAAACAGGAAAATGCTACTTGAATCTTAACAATCCAGTAAGAGATACTAATTTTAGAAATCAACGTGTTACTAAGTCCCGTTCCTAGCTAATGTTTTTGTATGTCCTTATATGTTAAACAAAGAGGTATAAACTTCTCATAAGTCTAGAAGAACAACGAATAAGCTGCTTTTATTAAACACATCTGTTTGTTTGTACTGTGACCTTGGGGGATTGACGCGGGTCGGCCACTTATGACTCTCATATCGGGTCAAATTGCTTGCTCCCAGTTTCGGTCCTAAGATTATCTTGATCTGAGACGTTTTATTTCTGGTTGCTGTCTACTACTTTTTGTAGTAGATGTAAGTACGTTGTGTGTGTTTGCTGGGTATTCGACTGGCCTATTTTCTCGTTTACAGTCCTCACGCTACTGTGCCCCCTCCCCTAGTACACAAAGTACCTTTTGGCTAGATGCATACCGCTACATACTTGGAGAGCCTGCCAAGATGATAAGACTATGAAGTAATGCGGACTTAGAATTGGTTCTAATTAGGCTAACACGAACATTGGGACAGTGCTTTGTCAAAAGAGCGAGCTTTAAAGCTACAGCTGTAACGGGTTAAACTATTTGTTTCTAGTTTCGGTCCTAAGATTGTCGTAATATGAGGCTTGTGCTATTGCTGATTTTTGTCTTTTGTTCTTCGTAGTAAGTGTAAGTACACTGCGTCTGCTGAGTCGTTGACTCACCTTTCTTTTGTTCTCTTTTACAGTCCTCGCACTGCCTGCTCTCCCTTAGTACACAAAGCACCTTTTGGTGAGACGCAAACCTCTACAATTTGTAAAGGAATTAACTTTTCGTCCTGTTTTTCTTTGCTGGAAAGCTTATTGCATTTACCAACTTGATTTCCAGAGTTTTCTGTCTACGCATTTAAACTGTTAGGTCTTGACGTAAGTGTGTCCTATCTACTTTCTACTCACTTTCTGTTTTTATAGATCATCTTGCTGAATTAACCCCTGCTTCTTTAAACCTACATACACAGTGCTTAGCTGTTTCTAATCACAAAGTATTCACAGGTTAAGCGTAAATATTCTAGCATTTAAGGGTCACAGTACAATTCTCATATTTTGTGTACTTGTGAGGTGCATTGGACAGCATCTAGTCCTCGTGGAGTCGAAAGTAATTTAATGAGAAACGTAAGTGGTTAGATTTGCTCTTTTTTACACTTTCGTTTAAAAGATTTTAAAAGCGGTCATTAAGTTATATTGAGACATACTAAGAGTGTTAGTTAGATGTTCGTCATATTTAGATAATTCGTTAAGGTTAATTATCAGGGATTTAGTATGCTTAGTCTAGGTTTCTGTTGAGCCGGCTTATACATAAAGTATGTGCCAGTATGCTGCAAATGGGTGCGAATGGAATAAAGCAGTTTTTCGTTTCATAGGTTGTGTCTTGTTCCTTTGTATCAATCAACCACCTATGCCTCCGGATAGGGTCCTTGATATGTAAAAATCAACTTATGGTGTTATGCTGAGTTATCGAAAGTTATTCCTAAAGTGGTTCGGGACAGGTTGCTTGGACCACTTCAGATGATAGAAAGTTCCAAAATTTTGAGTTTTGTGGTGTGGTGGACACGTTGAAAAGATTTTTAGAAACGAAGATATTTCATTTGGCTAACTCTTACAACATGAGTACTGATCCAGTTATATCTTGCTGTCGACAGATTGGTGATACAGGAGTGACTTCTTGAAACCATGCCGTTGAGATACTATGAAGTTTGTCGATAAATAATCATGTGTTCACATAAAACACCAAAAGTCTAGAGGTGGCAACTCATACCAATGTAAGTACGTACCGACTTCTACGTTGTGACTGACTAACGAAATCTCGTTACAGATTTATAAAGACTGGTTGACTTTTGTCACTTATGGCGTAGACAGATGTCCATCTATCAGTCAATGTGTGTACTGCAATCGCAGTCTACTTGCGTAGAGTTTGGTTATAAAAGCTACGGAAGGTCAAACCAAGACATGGTATTAGTCCTTAAAGTCAGTGTTTGATGTCCTAGGCCATCGACGGATACAGATTACTTGGTTGTTCGCTCGATAACCTTGATCGATTGTTAGAGACTTTATGTATTTATTTATTTCAACACATAGATATTGGTACAAAGAGGCACCAAATACATATGCGCCACACAAATCTCATTCGATATGTGTGAGGGCTGTGATACTTCCCGGGTGCCCAAACCGAAGCAGGTGGTTTACTTAGCGAGCCACACCCCGAGCCTCCGACCTGAGGGTCTGATCCACAAGGCAGTGGAGCATCGTAAGGGGATGCAGTCCCATGGAGGTCGGTGACCAACAATTGGTTCATACGCCATTTGTTCCCGCAGGATACTGGAGCCCATGTGCAACATTGGTTTTGGATCCGGTTAAAGCGCCAGACATTCGCTTTTCGTCCCCTCATTTTCGTAAAATACACCCCCGCCACGAGAAGGCAGTGAGTAGGACTTCCCTGTCAGAGGCTATATACGCGTGGCCGTGTGAGAGCATTTCGAGAGGGAGAGCGGACTCTCCCCACTCTCGACCGTACCAGGGCATTTGGGGGCTAGAGACTTTATGTACCATGGCTCGAGATCAGTCCCAATGGTGTGGATTCATCCATTCACAATCAACCTTCACTTCAGTTTCGAATTCTAATATTCCCTTATACATACCTTCCTATTATCATTTCGAACTATATCTCAAATATTTAGGAGTCCTCTATATCATAGCTGCTACACTATCTCAATATGTTTTGCAATTCATCTTGTTAATTTTGCCTCATCCTGGCAACATAGTATGTAAACTTGAGCCAGCGCACATCTTTGCTAGACTACGTTGATGATGATTAACTATCACTTACGACAGGTTTGAAAATCAGTTTATTCTCAATGATTTGGCGAGTATTGTAAGGGCTGAATATGTTAGTCTATAATGGTCTAACACTAAGCGTTATGCTAGTGTAAAGACCTCAGATCCAAATTGCAGCTGCTTTCATCAATCTCACCCGAAACCAAATTACTGTATATCTTATTCTTACCGTCAGTAAATTGAAGTTCTCAGCCAAAACTTTAATTTACTGACAGGTAGAATGAACGGGAGGTTCAAAATAACCATTAGCGACCGTGATTTAGTAAGTACAATATAACTTACCGAGTACAAGTTTATGTGATCGGCGCTGGGCCACATAGTAAGGACTAGTGATACCGCTCGGCTCCCAAGCCCGTTTTGTAAAATATGAGACATGATTGAAAGGCAGATGCTTTAGCCAATTAACTGGCTCTCCTCAGATTGCAGTTTTATGCTTTTGGGGTTCAGATTCATTGTCTGCATAACGCGTCTTGGTTATCTTATTCGACCATATCAGTCTTAAACAGCGTTAGATTCCATCCTTCATAGTATGGGGAAGGGAAACTAGCGTGACTGACAAAACAGTCGGGATAAGAATATCAAGGATGGTAAAAACGAGACAGTATGGAGTGGTAAAATAAAAAGTACGATATACTATTAAAAATAAAGATTTCTTACCAGCGGTCACCATCTCCAAATTACTTTCCCCCGCATACGTGTGCTTTAAAGGCCTTGGTTAACTTATTTCCATCAGTGTGTTATTGATAAATTCCAACTCCTTCATGGTATTTTCTAGGTAGATCGTTTTCGCTTTGTTTGTAAGACATCTGACCAGATTCCTTTTGTAGCGCACCGGCGTGAAACTGTGGAAGTGTGTGTATTGGCAAAGAAAGGAGCCCTTCGTATGCACGCTTTTGCTTAACGAGCCCCTCAACCCGTCTACTTAGTGAAATGTCAAAGAAATTTAGTCTATTGTCAAGCTCGTTCGGGTTTAGGAATGAGCCAATAGCTATTCCATCAATTTGTCCATAATAATTATCGTTGAAGACAGAATGGACGCTCATCGTATACCTTAAGAGTAATTCCTTGAGTTTATCCCCACAAAAGCCAGTGTCGACTTATTTTTTATATTTATCTACATATAAACTCGATTGTCTCGACTAACTGTACATTGGTGAGTAAAGATACAAAATCTAGTAAGATAATATACTTTATACTTACATTCATGTCTTCCAGGCTATAGATGAAATCCAAAACATCCTTGATGCTTCTTACGACTGTTGTATACCGTAAAGGAGTTGGAATTTATTAGTAACATACTGATGGAAATAAGCTACAGGAGTTCGCTGGTATAAGGTTAAAATCCCAACCCGATTTACTTTTATTCATCAGAATAATTTCGTTATCATTTATGGGTAAATGACGTACATATAAGTTAATAGCAATCAATATCTTACAGTTCTGGAGAATATTGGGTAGATTAGATTTAAACTGATGGCCAATTAGTTGTAAACCATACTCTTGGAAGTGTGGTACTTTTACGTATAATTGTAAGCGTATATACAATATTGTTAGGTTCTTTAATTTACCATCTTTGGTGTTGAAAATCGAGAAACCGTTTTCAAGCAAATTACGAAATAAAATTTAATGCTTTATTCATTTGGTGTAAGCTTATGATAATTTATGTTGCGTTACTGCCTCTGGACTACTGTGGTGGTTGTGATTTCATATTTATCAGAGTATATTTTATTCGTGTTTTCTCCCAGGTTGTCATTTCTTTGAATTTATTCTTGAAAAAGCCTTTTTACCAACCAACTTACGGAGAACTACTTCGAGTTGCTTGTAAACGGCGGATTCATGGATTCACTGATGGGCTTGAAAATATTATCGAGACAAAAGTTTCTGAAACTGATGTTAGTAAACGCATATCTGGTCAAGAGTTGACGTACAAAGGGAAAAATGAGCGTGTCATATTTTCAGCCAATCAAGTAATTCTTACTTTACACGGTTGTATTTTATCATTTATCCTCCAACAGTGCTCAGATAATTATCTATTTCTTAATTGTTTTTAAGTATTAGTGATTTTGAGATATTCACGTTGGTTTAAACTATTATTAGTCGTTATGAGATCACTTGAATAGCTAGTTTTCTAAACCATTTGCCTTCATATCTATAGTCTCTTAAAACATATTTTTATGATTGCATATACTTATACAAGGTTATGTGATATCAAACAATTGTATGGGTTATTGAGTTCATTTTTCTCAGCTGAAAATGTAGTGGTCATAAATCAGTCTAATTGCCAGGTGATCTAAATTTGCATTTGACTTTTAAGTTTAGTTCGCACTTAATAATAAGCTACTTTCTCCCTCATACTTAACCATTATGGAATATTGTTGTGCTTTCATGGCATGCTGTCGTCAATTTTTTTACAATGTTTATCTATTTAGTGAATCAAAACCCTAATCATATTCAAATTCGTAGGTTTACTAGTTTATCTTGCCAGTGTTCATTCATAATGCCAAATCCATATTGTCATTTATTCCCAGTACTAGTAAATAAACTGCAAGATTTTTATGTTCTTATTGCTTTCGATTTCATATTTATTTGTGTCATACTTGTGTTTGCTGTATCACCAGCTTTTGTTAATGAAATTAGGTTAGTGTCAATCGCCCGGTCGAAGATAGGTGGATGGCTTCTCATTTTGGTGAAGGGGATTTTAGTTCTCTTACTCTCAGCGATCACAAACAATCGAACGATGAGAAATCGGTTTATGGTGGTACAATATTTACAGTTGTTGATGGGCACGGTGGTCATGCTTGTGCTCATGCAGTCAATTTGCTACACAGTGATTACATAATTTCTGGTCTTCTACCTCCAAAAGTTTCCGAGGTTGCTTTACGAAATCTCCACCAAATTAAGGAGTTACGTACTCCGCGTTCAATTTGTGAGTTGGCGGTCACATTGTGGATGACTTCTGGTGCATTGGTTACCGGGGAATCTGAACGTATCGAGTTTGGTTTGAAAGCGGATAAAAATTCCAGATTTCCCAATCCTAATCTGACTTCTATGCATAGTCAGTCTAGTGTTAGCTGGGGACCTTGGGGTCCCTGGGGCCCTCTACCGTTGTCTGTTCGTGATGCACATATTGGACACATCAGTAAATTTCTTGAAGAATTACTGTCAACCTGTGATGAAAGGGGTAGGTCTCACAATTTGGATGCTTAACTTACACAATTTAGGTTTTTTCAGCTTTTATATTTTTTTGGATTTATTTAGATTTCATGCGGATTATTTGAATAATAATTTATATAATTGATTAGTTCCATCACCTTCAATTCTATTTTTGGTGATAGAGAAGCAGTCCGTGATTGTTTTTTGATATTTTAATGTGATTTTATCAATCATATCCGATAGCATTTCAGTCTGGTTCAATATCTAATCCATTTGTACTGTTGTCTTACATGGGTGATTTCCTATCGATATGTTGGTGTTAGTTGTGTAGCATCCTAAAACAAACAAAAAAACATTTGTGTCAGGTTTTATGCTGTTTGTGTTGATTTGTCTGAAGATTTTCGGGATAGACCTTTCAACAAAATGTTGGTTGTAAAGTTTGCGGGTCACAAAAGTCGGTTTGCTAACAAAACTTAACAGTATTTCTAACAGTCCAGGCTCCATGCATAGTTCTGTGTTTATGCTTTGTCACTGTTTAATTCTCTGATTAAAAACGCTTACAAGGTGTCGAATTAGTGCAGCAGTGTTAACACTACGGAAAACGAGGTTTATATCAGCATCCCTTCCCGCTTTTCTTAGGCTTTGAGGGTCATGGTTTTGTTTTTGTATTGCCGAACATTAGGTCATAGGGGTATATGAAATCTAATTCATTTGTATTAATTACAGTAGTTCACTAGAGTTCCTATCAAAACATAGGATTCAACTTTAGTTTCATCTTGTATTTTTCATTCTTTGACCATTCATTGATTTATATCTATATGTTTGTAACCTTTTCATCGTAGCATGTATTTGCTTGACTAAATATTTTTTAACACTACATACTATTATCCATTTGTTAATACGAAAGAAATCATTGGGTCATTTAACTAGTACAATTACGGGGTCTTTTTAAATTCCTAAGTGAGTATGTATATTTGCATCTCATCATATTCTGTGTACGCTAATGTAGTACAAAAGACGTATCATGAGAATGTATCGCCTTTTAGATCGTATGTTTAGAGGTTCATGACCGTCTAAGGACCTTGAAACAAATGCGTTAATTAGTTCCATCCTCATCATGTTCCTCTAAGTAGCTTCTTGCTGATTTTTTTCTAACAGTTCTTTTTGCTGAGTGATTTATTGATTGATTCGCTGTCGATTAGTACAATAATTGACTAAATCAAGGTTTTTTCTTACATGAGGGGTGAAGTAGTTTAGTCAGTTATAGATTGTCAGTTCGAACCTTCTTCCTCAACTGTGTTAACTGGAAGTTGAATAAGTTATCAAAGTCGATAATACCTTTAAGGTCAGACGGTAATCAGGGGTTTAAAATATAATTGAGCTTAGACTGTAGACAAGTCAGATTATCATCGTCGTTTAAGCGGCATATTCGGTATTTTATGCGTTTATTTTCGTAAGCTGTTTTTCAAAGCAAATCGTGATACATTTTATTAATGAATAATTAGCTTCGCGGAATTTTTATATATTTGAAGCGTTATGGTTTTCGTAATATTTTAAAAATTTTCACTTCAGAGTTTTTCTTCAGTGATAATAGTGAGGGTGATATGATTGATCCAGATGGGTTCATTACTGCTCCATTAAATGCGATTAAGGAAACTGTCATGAAATACTCCGAGCCTTCGTCTTCGTTAAGGCGATCAGAAGATCCCACTTTGTCCTCAGGTTTGTTAGCTAAGTTTAATCTTCATTCTTTTGATTCAGACTTCGATCAGTCTGTTGATGATTTGCGCAACTATGTAGCGGCTACTGCTTGGGCCCTGAGGAACGGTCTTCTTCGAATGGATCTGGATATGTCCTTGGCAGCATGCCCTACTTTCCATGGTCCTGTGTTAGACAAAGCTTTATTGCGTGTTGTGTTTGCTGGCTGTGTAGCAACCTCGGTCTATATACCTCGACATCGAAAAGAAATTTTTGCTGCTCAGGTGAGTTAAAAGTTGCTGTACTAAATTTTTAAGTGTATAGAGTTTTCTGACCCATAAAAGTCGTTTCCTTGGTACTGGGAGGGGGATCTTAATCGTTATTATATTTAAGGACATACTTTTGCTGCCGAAGATATATTTTGACAAATCTGGTGTTGGGGATTTTGAATATATCCATTTGGTAACAAGAGATCTTGACTTTGTCTTACCAAAATAAGTGATCGGGTTTTTCCCTCAGTACATTAATTGTTCTGTAATAAATCTCTGGTTTTATGCATATATAAGACAAAATTTAGTCTGTTTTTTTTAAAATAAGTTTTACGTTGGTATCACACACTATAATGTCCGTTTGCCAACTACCGAAAACTGAACGTAGTATAACCCATTCAGAAAGAGTTTGGAAAAATTATACTACAAACTGTACTATAGCCAGACTTTATTAAATTTTCTGGAATCTTCACGGTAACAAATGAAGCATCTAAATTTTTAAATTATTTTGCCGAATTTTTCATAAAAAATAATATACCTATCAAATCGAGACAGATGATTAGAAGTTGTTCATTGCTGGGTTAGAAGACAAAAACTAACATCTTATTCTCTATGAATACATGACAAATTATTTAGCCTTCTGACCGCCACAAACGTGTTAATGACAGTAAGCTTTACTAGCTTTTTCTAGTTAACCATTTTGTGGCGGTTAATATTTCAGTTATTATTCTTTAAAAAATGTACATGGAAGACAGTTATTTTTTAATAACATAAACATAGAAATGTAATTTGTAGGATGTATGAGTCCCTTCTATTTTGTTGTGTTGTAATATGAGTATGACAGTAGGCGTCAAGTTTACATGTGTCGGTAACCAGAAAAAATTAATATATCATTCGTTTTTCGTCTTTTAATAATCCGTTTGCATCATTGATTTACACTTTATTTAAACACATAAACATTGGTACAAGGAGGCACCAAATAGATATACACCTTTATAGGTCATTCGATTTTTGTGAGGGCTGAGATACTGCTCGGGTGTTCAGACCAAAGCAGGTGGTTTTCTTAGGGGGCCACACCCGGAGCCTTTAACCTAAAGGTCTGATCCACAAGGCAGTGGAGCAACGTCAGGAGATGCAGTTCCATGGTAGTTGGTGACCAACGACTGGTTCATACGCCATTTATTCCTTCAGGATACTGGAGCACATGTGTACCATTGGTTTGGAATCAGGGTTTTCCAACTCGCCTAGGTGGATCCTACATATCCACCAACCCGGTTAAAGCACCGGACATTCGCTTTTCGTCCTCTCAATTTCGTAAAAACACTCCCTCCGTGAGAAGGCATTACACTTAGGAAATTCTGATTTCCATGGATGAAGCTCCCTCAACAACTGATCTGATTTATGTGCCGGATATGCATCTTTTGTTCTTTTGCTTTAATGGAAAACTCCAGTACGGGAAATAACTATGGCTAAAATCATTAGTAATGGCCCTTATTAGAGCGTATTTATGAATAGAATATTTGTTCGTACTAGATACACAGAGGTTATCTTGTAGCACTCAGTATCTTATTTTGTAAGTGGGGAGACAACTTTAGTCAAGAAAGTTGTATGATATGCTCCTCTTTTACAGTGGATGCAAAATCTGCTACATTCCTCTATGATCTGACTTAAAATATAATTACAGAAAGTTTAGTTCTACATAACATTCCACACTAAAATTTGTTTTGCAGCATTTACCCGTTGTGAGACGTGGCAGTAACGTTGCTCACTAAAAAAGAACCTTGTTTTTCAAAACGTTACAATATCGATCACCGATATTTTTGTGCAATCCTACTATCAAGACAGCTTACTATTAGATGTGTTTATTTTAGAATTAGAAGAAAAACAATATTGTAAAATTATGCTCTCAGGGATTCATGTTGAAATGCTTAGTTTTTACTCTTCTGACAAAAATATACATCTAACCTTCATTCACTGCACTAATAGGCCATTGTAAGTTTGTGTCATATCTGCTTATCTACAGCGAACCGGTTATAATTATCTGTTTTTTTGCTGAATGCATTTATGTATTGGTTTTATGGTTAATGGAAATATGTTAGCCAAATATAGTTAGCAATTTACGATTCGTTATGAATAATTATAGATTGAAGTTTATTCTTAAGTCGTGTATTCTCGGATTATAATTAGATCATTTAGTTCAACATTCTCCAGGGTTTATCTTCCTGACCACGATGATGATGTATCTCGCTTACAAAGTACAGTTTCGTGTACTCGGCTATGAAGTATGCTTTGAAGGTTAGCGGTACTACTCGGCTGCCCAAACCAACGTGGATCGGGATTCAAAGTTTCTATATAATATTTGAAAGGGAGACGGGTTTATTACCAAACCAGCGCAACACTCCTGACCACAGTTTTTTCTAGTTGTTGCATTTTTCTGTTCTATTGAGTTTGGTTATCTATACATTCTATTTGCATTTGGTTGCTAACTCAACTTCAAAAAGCTTCCTGTTAGTTAATTTATGATAGATTTCTCTACCTCTTTTCTCATTTTTATTATTCAGAAATGAGAAAATCTACTGCATTTATCAGGCGGTTTAGAAAAACAAATAAATGAAACTATAACCAAAATATAATAAAGATCAAAAGTGGTCCAATAAGCTTTCTTATTAAGTTGAATTAGGTAACAGTCGGACAGTTGATAATGTAGAAATAAACATAAACATCGCAAGAGAATTTAATACTAATCTACTAAAATACTGTCAGCAGACCATTAAAAATGAGGCCGAATTAAGATAAGAAAAGGGTTTAAAAACTTGAATTTTTCTATACGTCACAGTGGGTTAGTGGTTAAGGTACTCATGTTTGAGAGTTATGTAATATCGCTAGTCTTCACAAAAGCGGTATGACTCAAAAATGAGTCAAAAGTGGTCCACTCGAACCACTCTGATTTTTTTTGCATTCAACCACTTTTAGGATATTCAAGTGACCTATACCAACTTTCCCATAGGTTTCTTTGTATTCACTGTAAGTGGGATCTACGCCTATAATCTGTTCACTATCGTAAAAGTTTGCTTGAATCCTCGTTCTTCAATTTATTTTGGACTTTTACACCATCACGCTAACTAATGTTACTTGATGTGATTTCATTACTCTCCCAATACAAAAAGTTTCACAGCTACAGTTCAATTTATAAATTCCTAATTTGATATGATTAATCATTTTTGGTTATTGTAATGAATATATTGCCCAAATCTAGCGTCTGATGCAAATTTGAAGAGAATGTCTAGCTGCTCTCTCAAATTCTCCACCGAACATAGCGTAATTCGCAGAGAGCACCACTTAATAATTTTTAGTATTATTTCTACAACCGTTTATTATCCTGTGGAGCGTTAATACTTTGTTGTTAGTCATCTCAAATATATGACCTTGAACATGTCCAAAATGTGAACTTTGATGATAAATACATATAGTTTTAAAATCTTTATTTAACAATTCTATTGGCATGAAGTCTGTCTTCTTTTCTCTCATAGCTTAAGTGATTGATGTTTTACTGTAGGGAGAACGGTGTAATATGCGAGTTAATATAGCTTATCAGCCTTCACATATTTTAAAAGGAGTTAAAAGCTTTTGTTTTATTATATAGCTAAGCATAGAAATAGAGGTAGATTTTTTTAGCGAAGCAAATGTTAGTCACATATTGTTAATTAGTATTGAAATAGTGGGTATACCCATGCGCAGTAATCACCTTGAAGTAGAAAAGATTACTTGATTTTTCTCACTTTCCTTTTCAATAAAAATCACGGTGTTCTGTGTGTTTGTGCATATTCATTGCAACATTTTTTATTTAGTTTACCTACTGGTTTAGCAAAGCGTTGGTTTTTATTTTTAGTCATGTATAGCTCATTCGGTGCATCTGGGAGCCCTAAATGTAGTTACCAAATAATAAAAGTGTTATCAAAGTCACAGAGATACATTTGGGGAAATTCCCAGTTGTTCTGATATGTCCATAATCATAGTAAATGGACTTTACATCTCGTATTCATCCACTTATTTCCAGCTCAGCTAGAAACGCTAGATCAGGCTAGCTACTTTTGAGTCGACGGAACCCGGGAATAGATTAATTTGGTGACTGCCTTTAAATCAACTGTAGCGCCAACTAACTGTATTAGATATACTAGTTGTTCAAATCATGGTACTTCCAGTTTGTTGAAGGGAATGCCACTAGATAAATATAATCTTTGAATGAACTTTACTTAAAAATGTAATCTACACTACGTAAATTATGGTGCTCTGAAAGAAACTTGTTTAGTATTCTGTTATCAGAAGTCATTTATTACAGGTGTTAAACTGAACGACACCTATTACTCATCCATCCTTTCAAAATTGAACAGATGCTATTACAATGTCATAGAGTATTTGTGTGGTTGGTATGTACCTCTCTAACCTTAGGTTTGTGAAACATGAATTTTCTGTCTTTTATAATTCATTAGAACCTACTAGTTGTATGGTGAAATATTCAGTTTACATATACGGGTAATACTGAGCCACTTTGAAAATGTAGCTTGTGGTGTTTATTTCTTTGATCGTCAGGTGCTTAATGGCATTTCGTCAGTCACCGATACTCCACGGCGTATGCTTACGTCTGTTCGAGTTACCATATCCCATTAGCATGGCGAGATGAGTTTGTCAGTGCAAACACTAAAGTATTAGAGGCAGTAATAGCATTAACGGTTATATGAAAGATTAGGTATCAAAGATAAGATTCATGAAGAAAGTGTGAATTAGTGGATTAGAAAATTTTTTTGAGAATTTAGAAAATCAGGATCTAAATAAGGCAAACAATAAATGTTTTTGTTCCATTGTGTACGTTGCTGAGCCATGTCACTTAAGTCTTTGACCATTAGTTAAGACAATCATCATGCGAACAACAACCAGGTAGTATAACCTTCCTACATGACTCAGTTCAACACTCGGCGTCTTAATAGACTAATCCCATGTCTTAGTTTGGGCACCCT